AAAAAACCCCAACCCACCCACACATATACCACTTCACATCCACCCAAACACCTACAAACATTCATACCAGCACCAACAATGTACTGCTACCAAACAAAACAAACACAGCTCATAATTCTGCTGAATGCTGTGTGAAACACTTTTCTGTCCCCTGTCATTAAGGAAAAGAGGATGTTTTCTGCAGGAGATGTTTGTGTTTTCTCTGAAAATCAGAGAGGGATGTACGTTCTGAGTCCCTGTGTTGCTTGAATTAGTACAAGTTTCATTCTTCCTCATTCTCCACAGTTTAATGCCTACTGGCCTTCTCACTGAATCCATGTGCACACTGACTCTAAATTTAATGGCGTTTTCCTCGTTTCAAACAGGACAGTAAAATTTAGGTCCAGTACGATATGAACAGAGAGCTGCACAAATGAAAAAGGAGGAAAGAGAAACCAGATGTGACATGGTGGTGCACAACCAGCTGAACAGATGAGCTTATTTTCTTGTCTCCTTTAAATGTTGTGATGTTTTTGCCGGAGGCTAAAAACTGCACAAATGAAAAAGGGTGACACAAAAGAGACTCTGTCGGGGAAACAGAGAAACTTTGTGCATATTCTCACAGTGAACCAAAACCAGCAGAGGCACATATTTGCTACTGTTTGTCACTTCTATAAATGATCAGCCAGCTACATTTTCTTTTTACTGCATACCTGTAACCAGCTTCAAAATAAATCAAATGGGACATTGGATGCTCCAACGTTATTAACAGAACATTAAAACTTGTAGGTTTCAAGTTGAATGAGAAAAGCATTAAATAAAACAACAAAATGACCAGACTTGACCTGATCAAGTTGAATTCCCATGGATTCCTGTTTCACTTGGGGCCAAAATATAATAACTTTGTTGATCCCTTAATTTTTCCACTCTCAGTTAAGCAGTCAATCAATCAACCTTTTATTTCGGACACATTAAGGGTCCATAAAATAATGAAAGAGAAAATAGAATAATAAGTACAAAAAAACAAAACTAATACTAGTCAGTCGATCTGTTCAATGCTTTAATTTATGACTAAATTCATGACCTGCAAAATTAATTACAGTCCCATCAGTCTCAGCTGTACTTTGTGTTCAGTGCTAATTAGCGAATGTTAGCGTGCTAACGTGGTAAAGTGACAAACACTATATCTGTTAACTGAGACAAAGTCAGGCAGGAATATAGCTTGATTTTATTTTCATAAACACATCATGAATGTGCCAAAACTTACTTTTATCCATTATTATCTGCTTTTTTGGTCCTTTCTGTTTAATTTTAATGTCAAATGAAATATTTTAATACAAAAATCACTTGGAGGACACAGCAGGGACACTAGTTAAATAACCCTAATGAATGGTAGACATCACTGTTACAAAATGCTCTGTAATAGTTATTTTTATTAAAGTTATTTAAACAAAATATTTCAACTGAAAACTGTGTGGAATTCAAGGTAGTGGTCTAAAGCTACACTGTCCTCTTCTGTAAGCCTAAAGAACTATATATTACATTTTATTCAGTTTAGTAATCTTATAATTGCATGTGACTGGTTTGGAAAGGTACAAAACATCAGATTTTCATGTTCACACCAACCTTCATTAATTCCATCACTATAAAAATCTAAAGCAAATGTAGAAATAGTCATGTATGTTGGATATTAATAACTCTCATTCCTTTTTTTGGTTATTGTTGTACACATAATGTAAACTCTTTTTTCCATTATCTGTCTATCTTATACATATGATCACAGTAATAGAGCTGAACATGTATTTTGTTTCTCTACAGTCCTACAAATGGTGTAAAGATTACACATATGTATTTTATTCCTCTTGATTGTGCAGATGACGGTTTCTTACTTCAGACGTGCATACACTGCATCACCCTTCTTGGTAGTGACAGTTTTTTGAAGAAGCAATATTAAAGCATAAAGCCGTTGATTTTATGTTTTGTTTTAATTAGATTTTATTTTCCATAAATCCCGTATAGATACTAAAACCAACAATGAATTTCGTGCACTCACCGTGATGTCTGAATCTTTGTCTATGAACGTGGTTTAGCTTATTCGCCTGTGCCCTACAGATCCAAAAACCGCCGCACTGGGTGGTGAGTTTCTTCCTCATAAAATGCGTGGGTTATGCCTTATTTAAAAAAAAAGAGCTCTAAAGACTAAGAACAGCCATCGCTCATTACAGGGAACAAAGAAACGAGTGAGCCTTTATCGTACTTTGTGTATTTTGACAGTAAAGAGAAAGTTTAAGAAACCAATTTTGTTAACACTGTCATTTGGCAGGACCTTTTTCAGTACAAGCCCCCCACCTCTGCAATTGTCTTGATGTTTCAGCCCTGTCATTTACATGAAGTAAATAAATCAGGCACTGGGCATTAGGCACCTCTCAGCATGGCTGTGGTCACAGTTAAAAACAGATGTACTGAGATTTCCACGTTGGATGGGACAGAACAAATCTCTTATAAATCTTTAAATCGCTTTATGAGGCTGCTAAAACATTCATTTGTTCTGACTGAACAACTGGAACAAAGAACAAGAGAAAAAGCAAAGAGAAGTGAGACAGATGCCTTAAAGTTGTGATGATGCCTGGAATTAGATGAATTCATGCACAATCTGTCTTTCCTCTGTTAATGCTTCCTTTTTGAAGATGGTAGTGGTGTGAGTGTAGGTCAGAGTAAGTTTGTGTGTGTGTGACACTAGAGATGGTATAACTGCACTCTTCACGTGAATTTCTGCAGGTAGTGACAATGTTTTTCAGCTTTAGCACATTCAATTATATACTCTTATTGGATGCCCATCTCTCAGGACATGTTATCCTAGTGCCACGGTGTGTGTCAGTTCATTTGAATAAGAGGAAGCAACAAAAGAAAGGCACAGAAACAATGGAGGGAATCAGAAAAAGAAAAAATACATGAATTAATGCTGTTATGATAGAGATTCTAACAAAAGTGGAGACTGCAGAAGCAGCTGGAAGTTAAAACTTTAATAAGGTCTTTTTGTCACCGATATTACAAGCTTCTTCTTCAATCCCCGTCTTGCTCCCTCACTCTGTCCACATTAATGTATTTTGTCATCGTTCTCATTTGGTGCCCCGAGCGTCTGCAGAGCATTTTCATCTGCCTCACTC